AGGGAAATATAAGAGTCTAGTGTCTGTAACACTAGTAGTTCTGACCTCTCGTTAATTTTGTTTATTGTACATTTAGCACTCCACTCAAATATGACTTAATTACTATTTATACGACGTATGTCTGCTTTTCTAAGCTTCATCGTTTATGGAGTAAATATTTTCGCTAGTCATACCTAATCCTTCATTTATTCGGCTTCTAATGAATATTAAATATTTTGTGTAAACATAGATATCTATATATATCTATTTATCTATGTATCTATATATCTATATCTATCTGTATATATTCTTAAATTTGAATCCTCCAGTGAATAATGGTATGAAGTCAAATTTGCGTAATGTCGAACATATTTTAAATTAAATATAGTTGTATAACAGTAAATATTAATAAATGCAGTGGATCCGCTTGTATTTAAAATACTTAGCCAAAAGATTTAAAATGTTGCCAACTTATTTCGTAAACATCTAAAGTCAGCCTGAGATAGCGCGTTTAGTAATTAGAAAAAGTTTTATCAAGTGAGATACTATTTTTGTTAGTGGTTCCCTCACTATCTAAGAATTTCACGTTTCTTGATAATAGGAAAATTCATAGACTATAACATATAATTATCATGTCATCACTCGTTATTTAATGCTAAACATTTCATAACATTGCTGTTCTCGCTGGGTACTTTTCATATGCATTGTATTTGATAAAGTCAGAAATGTATTCTTAATATTCCCCATTTTTAATCATTTTTGCTCTTCTTGCGAGACAATATTTCCGAATAATTGTAAATTTTTAACTCTTTGAAAACTGAAGCCTTCGCTAACCTGTATGCTTGAAATACCGGATCGCCCGAAATGCCTTTCCAGATTAACAGGAGTTTCCTCTCCTCCCCATCCATTAACGCACAAACAGGTGTGAAGATTTTAAACGGCATCCCTTCTGCTTCCTAACAAAAAAATATAAAAAACCATAAATAAATCCTTTTACGACACCTGCAAAAAAATTATACAATGCATTTGGGGAAACTGCACCTGCTCTTGCATACCTTAGGGGGGAGGGAAGAAAAGAACATCGAAATTTCGGCTGTTTCGGGCGGTTCTGGTCGTTTGAATGAAGGGTCGTCTGAGGCGTTTTAGTCTTTAAAGAGTTAATGACTTTTTTATTGTTTACATAGGTAACACAATGCAACGCTATTTTGCTTCTCGCAAAATGCTTTAAGTTGCTGGAAACTGCGCAGCATATACAGTAATCCTCTATATATCCAAAGCAATTTAAATTATGTCTTGGTTTCCCGTGCTTACTAAAAACGACCTTATGCATACACAACAAAAAAAGCGTTAAATATATAACTAAGATGAATTTTAATTTCAATACTTGTCAGATACGTCTGTTAAAAGGCGGTTATTCTGATAATTAAATGAAAGGCTTATATTATTCTTTTATAAAGGGTATTTAAGTAAGTATTAATCAAAAATTAACACATTTATATTATTGATTACGAAGGCATTATATCCTCCGTAATTAAAAAATAAAATTAACCTTTATTTAGAACATTAAACAGATAAAAATAAGTTTTTTAAATGTTGTAAGTAAAATTGATTTTAGAAAATAATGCAAGTTAATGATGCGTTGTCTTTTTACTTTTACAATCCCTATTTTAACTAATTCGAAATTATGACTTTCATTCACGAAGAAATTAGGCTCCCTTGTATGATAGATTGAACTTAATATGACTTAAATTTAAGAGGAATGCATTTTAACGTCTCCTGAAAATAGAAATCAAGTAAAATTAAGAATTAAATTTGCAACTATGTATCTATTATATAGTCATCATGTTAACTCTTTCAGTACATCCTTTAGGTTAACTAGGTGTTTGACGCCTCTTACCAAAACAATTTATAAAAATTTACATTATTACTATAAGCAATAATATCAGAATTATTTTCCTTTTATTTTTATTGCAATCCTCTCTTCATTTTGCACTACATGCATATTAATGTATTTAGAGATAAATGGAATTGTCTTAATTCAGAATAGCATTTTTAAATATTTAGTAATATATAGCTCAAAATGAAATCTTTTCCTTCATTTCAAAGCATTTATTCAATGACTTCATCTAAGATTCTTGCGATAAACGGGTGAATCTTGTATTAAGTATAAATTGAAGTTCAAAGCGTATATTTTCGCTTTTACGACTCTAAATTCTATCAGAAAATTACACTAAAATTCTATTAAAAATTTTAATTATGACACTAAAATTCTATTAAAAAGTTCATACATATTTAAATCAAGCATAGTCTCATATGTTTTGATTGCATATTTCTGAGAGCGTTTCATGAAAATTTAGTTTTCTTATATATATTAAGTTCCTACTGTATATTTAACACATTCATCAAAGCAGTCGAAGAGTGAAATTTAGCTTTAGAACTCTATAGACACCTTTGTACATTTAACACTAGGTGTTTTCCCGAACTAATTAAAATATTAATGTTAAATACATTAAAGTGTTAAACGTACTCAAACTATTGCAAAAATTATTTTAACTGACGCGTTTTACGCAGCAAACATAGCTAAATATGTCTTATTTCATATTAAAGGATATTATCTGATAACCTCATAATAGTTAATAAATTTTAGGATTCAAAATACGAAAAGGATTCGCTGATTAAGTAAGCGATAAGTGTGGCTGTTATTCATCGTTAAATTCCTTAAGTGAATAAATACGTGTTAGAACATACTTTTAACATCTTATACATCGAGCTAAAATATTCAAAACTTGTTCTGCCTAATCGGTGCAAACCTACGAAATTTCCACCTCTGTAATTAATGTTTTTAGGTAGAAGACTTACAAATTCTGTTTGTCATTACATCCTCATTTATAATCTCAATATTCTGTAAATTACTAAAAGCAATTCTCAGAACTGAAAAGTTTATTGCAAGTTTCTGCGTTTGCAATGAAAAAAAACTTTTACGCTTCCTCTCAGGCGCAGATTTATACGTAAAAATTAGTTTTTCTCCTCTGTAAATATATTAAGCCCCCGACTTACCGGAATAATACTACGGACGGTTACGTAAAAACACGTGTAATTAGAGGGAAATTCAAAAAACGGAAATGGAATAGCCAATATTTGGACTAACAGAAAAATCGTTAAAAATGTATTTGTATTTTTAAGCTGTTAAATCTGGAAAATAATTTAATTTGACTGCTTAAATAAAGGAAGCAATCAGAGTAGAAATGCCTTATTGTAAATAATTAAAGAATACCTTGTAAATTATGTCTAAATGTAATTTAAGAATACATAATTAGAAATGAAGTAACATATAAATAGAATTAAGGAACTGTATTTTCCAGATAACTTACAAAAATCATGCTTAATATTTTAGAACGCTTCGTTTTTTAATTGTAAAACAGTTTGCATGTACTGGATTACGTGCAATTAAATTCAATACTTAAAAGTAAGTACTACTCAGTAAACGTTCTACTGAAAAAAACGGTCTTACTCTGTCATCAACCACCAATTACTTTACAGACAGTAAATTATGTGCTCTATTTTATTAAAAATCCTTTGCCATAGCATAAATGTGTCCATAATTAATATTATTTTATAATGTTATGCTCAGTTTTCAGAGATTTAAATCACTTTATAAAGAAGACATAAAGTTTCCCTATGTGCGCCCACTGTTTTCCTACAAACAATGACTTGACCTAAAGGGCACTATGTTTCAAACGGGAAAACATAATAAGCAAATACGTAGAGTAAAACACCCGCGATAAGCTAGTGGACGTATCCACAACCTCCTCCACTCTCTCACCTTAGTGACGCGCATGCGTACTCATTCATCGACGCACGCCGGCAGAGAAGTCGACACTGCTGTCTCTGAGAATCCTCGCGGAAGTCCGGAGCATCTTTTCGCTCCCGTTACTTCTGAGTTTGTGTTTAATTCATCCTCGGAGAGTTCCGCTTTTTGCAACCGGAGAAAATTATCTTCGCTGTCTCTTCGGTAAAGCGATATCACTTACAAATTGAAAAACTGCTTCTTGTGAAACTATGTTGCTTCCGATATAATTAAAATTAGAATTTAAGAGCTTGGGGAGCAACAAACCCCATAAAAAGACTCATTTTGTAAGTGGAAATAGAGCTCGGCCTTACTATTTGAATTTTTAAGTGAATGATACTGCTCTTCTTGATTAAATATGCACTTATGTGTATTGATAGATATTTCTGTTCAATAACGGATAGTGGGTATATAGTAAAAATATAGTTCAGAAACCTTGTCAGTTTTGGTACGATGCAGTAAGGATAAACTTGAAGTGCATGGTTTTGTTATTGAACTAATGTGGCGTATGCATTTCTATACAGGTTCCTTGATCTGATCATTATTTAAAGTGTTCTACAGTTTTCCAATAGTAAAATCCTATTGGAAACTTACGACTGGAGTGTTAAATTCTAAACTGAGCTAATAAACTAAACGCGTGTTTACTATCTTCAAGAAGATACAGCTTACCGCATACATAATAAAAAGGGGTTTTGGCTAAAGAGTTTGTTATATATTAGGTAATGAATATCAATGGAACATTAAATTAGTTGAGGCAATGAAATTATCATCTCAGCAAACGCGTTAATGCATAATGATAATCATCCACTAAAATGTTCCCACAAATGCAATGCATAAAAATCGCACTTTTTCTAAAAAGTAGTATTTATCTAAGCAAAATGAATAATGAGTAGAATAATAGAAAAGGGCTTATATAACAATGCGAAAATGAAATACTTTTAGCTTATTATTTCGCTCAAATGATAATCGCTGATCAAATAAGCGTAGCTTTGTTTCGCATATATATAGCATATATTACTATTTTGTTTCACGGAAATAAAATTCTAAACAAAGTACATTTACAGTGTAAACTTTCGTGAATTTTAGGCTTCTAAGATATATTTGATTTCTTGACTTTCTAAAGGTATTCTTACAAATGATTTTTGTGAAAACACTTTTGACTGATTATTGAATCATGGTTCAATTTATGGTTATCAGTGGATTTAATTCTTTAATTTTGACAGTAATCATAACCATCATTCTGGTGAATGTTTCACAGTGTGCAACGGAACAAAGGCGTCTGAGCTCAAGGGTGGTGACCACCAAATATGGTGCTTTACGAGGCTTCATTAATTCGTTAGCTAATAGACAGCTGCAACATGTTGAAGTATTTCAAGGAGTCCCTTATGCCAGTGCCCCTATCGGATCATTAAGGTTTATGCCTCCAGTGACTCCTCCACATTGGAGAGGAGTCATGATGGCTGATCATTTAGGTCCTGTATGTCCTCAGAAGTTGCCAGATGTGAGTAACGAAACCTTGGCTTTACGAAAGATGCCCATAGGACGTCTCCAGTACATTCGAAGGCTCTTACCTTATTTACGGAACCAAAGTGAGGATTGTCTCTATTTAAATATCTACGCCCCGGCAATAGGTAAGATGCATAAATTTATCAATTTTTTTATTTTTTAAGAACATTTTATTTTATTTTACTTATGTCCAGGTATTAACAATTATTAAGATCTCTGAAGACCTTTGGTATTATGTAGCATGCGTTAATATGATAGAGTATGTAAATATACATCTGGACTTCAAATTGATGGTAATGCATTTTCTCAAAATTGGAAATTACAGGGGGATCAAGCGATAAGGTTTATAAATCTAAAAGCAGTTTAAATGGTCGCTTTTAATTCATCGATTTTCTTTACTGAGCCAAAGGAAAGTTTCAGACTTGTAAAACGATAAAGAGTTTGGTTTATATCTGCGAATTTTGGCATATTTCCAGTATTATAATACTTGAATTTAATTTTTAACCCCTAACTCTTTATTATGCACATGATCATTTCTTGATATTAATTCTTGATATTATTAATTCTGGAAATTTTGATTGTAATCTATGTTTTTAATTTATTTTACAATAAGTAAGAAATTGAATGTAAGATATATGTTTAAAAGTATAAGGTTACAACTATTTCAAAAATATTCCCTAATTTTACCCGTATTGGTATTCACTACAAGTACTTAAATAAAATACTAAGTTTAACTGATGACTACCGGCACCGATATTTCCTAATTTAAACAGTAATCATGGTTGAAAAATACTTCAAAACGTTTGTACGAAGGCATACAAGAAGATATTTTGAAAGAAATCTAAAATAAACTTTTAAAATTCGTAGAAGGATGTCTAGTGCTTAAAAGATGATTTAAATAATTATTGAAATAAATAGTTATATATGATTATAATCGCTGTATTTCATTGTTTACAGTTTAGTACTAAAACGAAAAAATCTAACAATATGCGTATTGATGTCGATAAATTACAATAAATGCAATTTTTAATATACTCTTATTTTCTCTAAATCCTATATGTCTGCAGCATATTTTACAAGTTAGAAACTATAAGAATACGAAGATATTATGTAAAAGTTCAAAGCCAGAGAAATATGAATTCAGACCTTTTTCAATGCGTAAATACATTTTATCGCTAAAATGCTTAATGCCGTACTGTACGATATGAAAACTGTATAACGCGTTATACTGTAAAATAAAGATTCACTTTTAAAAAACATATAATTGACAAAGTAAAAAAGTAACGGAAAATTACAGATGAGAGTGTGATTTTTAGTTGAAATTAAAAGATAAAAATTGCTGATCATCAGAAAATAGGCCTTCCAAATTCGAAGAAACTTCATTGCAAAGAGTAGAGAAAAGTTACAGAAGCCTTATTTTCAAGTTTCATTTTCATATCTCAAATGAAGTAAAGTTATTTCCTACTTTTGTGCACCTTCTTCGTTTTGATACATCTTTGACATTTAAGCAAGCGATACGTATCAACGCGTTAAAAATGTTCTGCATACTATAAGAAGAAACATATCTGTGCATTTCCCACAATGATTATTAATACATATTTCCTGATTCCGTTTGTACACTGGATCATACGGTTACATGTGGTTTAAAAATCTTAGGTCCTAAATTTAGTTTTCTTAAATTTTGTCGCTTAAATGTTTCCTTAAATTTTATCCCTCCAGCGGAAATAATTTACAGGTAAGCTATAACTGTGGAGATAAAGAAGTAGAAGATAAATTTTTAGTAGGTCGCTGAAAAGGCAACAAGCAATTTTATTTCTAAAATTAAAAACAACAAAATTTTCTAAGCTAACATTTTATTTAAAAAGTGAATGAATTGAAAATAATCAGGAAATTAATTATCTGTTTTATGCGTGTAATCAAATACCTCGTATACATACAATGCTATTTTGACATATACTTAAATTACATCTGATTATCAGTATTTTGCTTGCGAAGTATAAAGTATATTACTTAAAGCCTTTTATGATATTTATGCAGTTTAATAAATGCAATTGCCGCATTACCTTCAATCAATTTTTAAAATATTTAAACGAAATAAATTTCTGAAAATATTATCGAATACTGAAGCATATTCCATTAATTAGTTGAAGACGTTTGTATAAAGATATTAGCTTTAAGATATTAGCATAAAACTTTTTTAATAAAACAGAAGGAATAACTTTGAGAGATTGGGGAATAAGTTATTAAATTTATAATTAAATACAGCTCTTAGAATACTATTATGTGGATAGCTTAAAGCTATTAAAATAGTAGAAATAAAAGAGAGGCAGAGTGTTAAATTGTCAGTACAAAAATTAAATCAGGATAATCATTAATTAAGTCTATAAGACAATTTCAAGATGTATTTTTTCTTTTAAGAAATTTTTCTTTTACTCCTTTTTTGCATTTTAGAGCATGAATTAATAAAATTTAAAAATATACAACGTCTTGATTCAGTGACTTCCATTATGCACGCAAATCTCGAGAAGAATATTCTAAATGTAAACAGAATTTAATAAAAGTTGCTGCCATACAGCTAAAAAGCTACAGTTTGTGTCATTATAACTATCTAAAACGCATTGTGGTGTACCACTTATCAAATAGTCAATAAGATCTGCAGTAATAAAATTTTATTATCGTGTTTAAAATTTACAAACGTATATTTGGACTTCAGTAATTAAAAATCGGGGCAACTGCGTAAATATATTTAAATTCGCAAAGGAGTAAAATGCTTTACTTCAAAATTCGCAGCAGTATTTTTTTTAACAGAGAGATGGCCATGAGGAAAAATAATTGTGCGTCAAATATTAAAACTGACTCTCAGAAAAAACCAACCATAATTTGTTTAGATCGTATTTTACCAGATACATCAATTGCTGTTGTTATTCTTAGAGCAAAAGCGACCCAAGATTTAAAATTTAGAGAAAACGTTAATCCGCTGTGAAATATGCGATGCTAGTATAGATAAAGAAAGCTTGCAATGATCTAAATTCATACATTGTGTTAATAGTTTTTATTTCAAACTCACATTTTAGTGAAATTTCCAGTCGTCAATGAGTTATCGCCCATGTAATAGCCAGCTGACATGGATCATTTACAAGGTTTTGAATTTTCTTCGTTTTTTGGGTTTCGAAAATTCTTTTGTTAGGATAATGTGGCAGAAATGGGAATTACATGTAAGATTTAATTTTCAGTATTACAGCTTTTTTTCCAATTTTTTTGAGTCCACTACCTTAAATTATGCTGCTAAGGTATTTATCATACAGAAATGATAACAAATTACCTCTTTTCAGGCATGTTGGTATAAGATCATTATGAATAAATATTATCAACTTCAGAAATGAGTAACTATCAATAAAACTCATGACAATTAACTGTTTAGTAAAAATAGTTCGCTACTTAACGATCTGACCTTTAAACATAATACAATTTGAATGATTTGCATTTTTACTTAATTTTTTTATTGTTAATTTGATTTAAACAATTTAAAATGTATCCAATTCACACGGCATTGTTTTTGTTTTTGAATTCATATTTAAAAGAAAGAATGATTACCAGAGCCTCAGAGAAGTTGGAATTTTAATTTCCATCTTGTACAGAATATATATAATACACAAATTATGTAATCATTTGCACTGTAATGTATTTTGCAGTAATTTACAAAACAGACAATCTTCTTAGTAGAACATAAATTTTATTTCCAGTTCACGGTGATAGACAAATTTTATACAATTCTTAAGTGGCAAAATTTTCATCCTACTCCTAGCTGTAAAATCTTCAGAATACTCAATCTTTTTAAAACAATATCTCTCGTTGCTGAGTAACGGTTTGATATAAATATGGCGTTGCCACTTCAACAATAATTATATTTATTTATTAAATAACAAGATATTACAACCTCTCCCCCCTCCAGATAAACTTTAATTATATTTTTATAAATTAAAGTTTACAGTTTTTAAAACAATAATATCAGCACAACACAGAATTAAATACAAGCATTTAAAGGAGAATTAAACAAGAAATGACATAATAACATACACTGAAAAGAGAGGAAGGAACAAAAATTTTTTTTTTTTATCTATATAGAGAAACAAATGATTTAATCAAGCCAGGGAGTACGACTTAATGCGTCTACATTTTTATGGTTTTTTACCACTTCGATGAACGATCGTGTAATTGTAGGGTTTTGTAGTACCAGTGCCCATCTCATAAGTCGTGGATTTAGACTCACATTATTTTTGAGCCAAACTAAGGGATTATGATCGGTCATGATGAGGAATTTAGTATGCCCGTCTAAATAACATTGAAGTTTCTTTACACCAAATATTATGGCGGCGCATTCCTTTTCTGTGGTACAGTACTTTTTTTCAGTTTATGTAAACTCCTTACTGAGGTATAATACTGGATGTTCATTGTCTCGTTCATCTTTTTGAGCTAAAATGACACCCATACCAGAGTTTGACGCATCAGTTTGCAAAATAAACTCCTTATTGAAATCAGGTGCATGTAGTATAGGCCTTTGAGACAGTTTCTCCTTTAGCTCTTCAAATGCTTTTGTGCACTCTTCTGTCCAATTTATTTTCCCTTTCTTTAAGTTTCCTTTCAAAGTTTCTGTTAAAGGTGCTGCGATAGATGAGAACATGGGAATGTAATGATTATAATATCCCGCTAATCCTAAAAATGCTCTTACTTGACTTTTTGTGGATGGCACTGGAAAATAAAGAATAGCTTTTACTTTTACTTCACTTGGCATTCTTATACCACGACCTACAATATGTCCTAGATATTTTACTCTATCTTGAGCAAATTTACATTTTATTGGTTTAATAGTTAAATCAGCGTCCTTTATTTTGGACAAAACGGCTTTCACGTGACTTAGATGTTCTTCCCAGGTGTTTGAAAAGATTGCCACGTCATCTAAATATGGAACAGCAAAGTTTTCACAACCGTGAAGAATTTCGGCCATCATTTTACTAAATGAAAATGGTGCATTTTTAAGTCAGAAAGGCATCCCGTAGAGGTCTAAATGTGCCAAAACTTGTAACAAAGTGGCTAATCTTTGAGCATTAGGTGTTAAAGGTATTTG